CTGAGAGTCATGCTGGTACCCATGGCATCGTGTTGCCACAGCACATGTTGACAGATGGATGAATGAATGAGTGAATTAATGAGTGAGTGAGGACTCACAGTTCCTCCAGAGACACCCTCTTTCCCCTGGCCTCATGGAGCTTGCAGTCTCGTGGCCAAGACTGACTTGAATCAACTCACTCAAATAAATATAGAATTACAAACAGTGCTGAATTGCTTGAAAGGAAAGGATAAGGCGCCATGAGAATCTGTGATACGTACAGTAGTCGCTTAGTCGGAAGGCTGATAAGAAGTAACTAGTTCAAGAGGGGCAGAGCGTTCTTGGCAGAAGGAACAGCATGTGCGGAGGCCCTAGGGTGAGAGGGAGCTGGGGACTTTCAGTCGGAATGAAGTGTAGCCTCTGGAGGTGCATAAGGGCTGAGATTAGAGGGGCGGGGTATTTATTGGTGGGAGAAGGGGGCTCTTGAAGGATTTCAAGCAACCTGCTTGGATTTGCAATTAGGTGCCTGCCTCTGGCTGCTGTGTGGAGAAGGGCCAGAGTTGGAGCCTCATGATGGTGGCCTGGGCTGGGGTGGGGGACGCAGGAGCCGAGTGAGGCTATGGTTAAGATTCAGGGTTAGATTCCACCCTCAGAGACTCTGCTTTTGGATTTTCCCCCCGTTTTTTAAAAGAAATTTATTGTGAAGTGCCTCAGAGATATACAAAGGTATAAAGACGACCATCCAGGTGCCCACCCAGGCTCAAGACCCAGAAGAGTTGCAAACAGCTGATGCCCCTCAGCATCTCCCTCAGGTGACAGAGGGTCACCACTGTTCCGGATTTGTATTTATCTCTCCGTGCATTCCTTCATGCTTTTATATATACGTGGTCTAGTTTTGAATTTTTGCAACTTTGTGTGAATAGCATCTAACTGTTCTTCTGTAACTTGCTTTTTTTCTCAATATAATGATTAAAAAAAATTTATGGGTGGAGGGGAGGCTCCTTCAAGAGATGTTTCAGTAGTATTAAACGTACATGTTTAAGTAGTAATAACCATAATAATAACTGACGCATAGCACTTCATGTGCCAACTCTAAGGGCATTATATCTATTAACTTATTTAATTCTCACTACAATGCTATGAGATAATATTATTTTTGTACCTTTTTTTGCTGCTGGGGAAACCGAGGCATGCAAGCTTTACATAACAAGGTCACTGGGCTGGTGGAGCCTGGGTGTGAGCCCGGGCAGACTCACACAGGACTTGGGGGCTGAGCAGATGTGGGAGATAGGAGGCCTGATCCACACCGCCGCCGCCGGGCCTGCTCTCTTGCCACCCTGCCCTGCTGCCCCTGGAGCTGGGCCTTGTGCTGTCCGGGTGGGGGTGAGCTGTGCCGAGGGTGGGACCTTGACCCCGAAATCCAGCACCTTCCCTCTGCTCCCTCAAGGAAAGGAGTTGTCCCCACTGGGGACAAGGTGGTAGGGTCTTCCCCACGGCCCCCAGCCTCAGAGCCACCCTGCATAGGCAGGTCCCTCGCATCCAGGCCCCTCTGTGAAGCTGCCCCAAGGCACGGTCTGACACCACCTGCCATATCCTCCCAGCCTTCTCACGGCACTAAAACCTCTTCTGCTGGCCCTTGAGGCAGGCAGGGCAGCCGACACCGTGCCCATTTGGCAGACCAACGAACTGTCAGGGTAGGCGTGAAGAATGGGAACAGGTTCTGGAATCAGAAGGGGCTGGACTGGGGTCCTGGGTCTGCGATTTCGCAGCGGTGTGACCTCAGGCAGATGACTTCACCTCTCTGAGCCTCTGCTCTCTCATCTGTAAAGTGGGCCTCCTTACTTCCCCAGGTTGGCGAGAGGGGTTGTGGAATGTTTGCACAGTGCTTCTGGAGTGCAGGGCCTGGCACGCGGTGCGTAGCAAGGACGACAGCTACCTCTGTTGGCCTCTTGTTACTGAGTGCTAATGAGCCCGGCACATTACCTGAGCTGGACCCGAATGGTGGGCTCTGGCTCCAGGCCCCACATACTTACACCAGACCCCACCCTGGACTTCCAGCACGACAGGAGTGGGTTCTGAGCCCCCATCAGGACCCTCGTGGGGTGATGGCATCATCGTCTCCCTATCGTCTTGTGCTGGGGGCCCACTTGGCATCAGGCCGAGCCCACGCGGCACAGCCCGCGCCCGCAGCAGATGGGAAAGTGGGGGGAGTCATGTTCTTCTGATTCAGACGTTGGGGTGGGGAGGGGGCCACACAGGATCCAGTGAGCCCACCTCCTCTCTGGCCTTCCTGCAGAGCTGGCGGCTCTGACAAAAGAACAGCTTGTGTGCCCACCTCCCTCGGCCTGCGCAGTGTCTGCTCGCAACAGCATTTGTGTAAATAGCACTTGACGTCCTGTTCCTTCCTGGCAGGTCTTTCTCGCTCCCAGGGAGGAGGACGCTTTGCTAGAGAGAGAAGGCTTTGGCGCCAGAAGGGTCAGCTTTGCCCAGCCCCATCACTGTAGAAAATTCAAAAGGACTTCTGCCTCGGTTTCCCCATCTGTGAAATGGGGACACTAAAGAGTACCAACCAAAACCAGTGGCTGTGAGGATTCACGAGTAAATACATGGAAAGTGCTGAGGGTGGGCCTGGTACACTCCTCTTCAGAGGTGTGCCCCTCATGCCCAGCTAGGCCCAGTGGAAGGAGGGAAAGTGAGGCTGGAATGGTGCTGGGGCCGAGGAGACCCAGTCCCGGCCCTCCCAGTGCTGATGTGGAAGAAAATCCATGAGCTAATTGCCTCAGCCCAAGGTTTCCCGAAAGTCCAGTCGCCTCAGATGCAGTGGGTGGCTGGCCCTATCGCTCCATAAGCTGTCTGTGGTCAAGGGAAGATTCTGGAGGTAGCGAGCTCCCCATCAGCTGATGTATACAAGCCTCACAGTGTGCATTCTGCTTTCACAGTCCACGAGGACCTGTTACTTCCACTGTTCCATCCTTACATCTGTCCTGTAGATGGACAGAGTGGGGCCCGTTGTCCCTGTTTTACAGAAGGGGAGACTGAGGCTTTGTGTTTAGTCAGCACCAGAGTCAGGATTCATACAAGGAGCCCCCCGGCTAGTGGAAAGTGAAGATTAGTGTAACATGGGTGGGGCCGGGTGTACCGAGCAGCTCATCCATCCGTGCCCCGCCCCCCTCACCTGGCCTCACCTGGTGGGCCAGAGCAGGCATCTGCATGGGTGGGTGGCTGTGTCCTCTCCCATGGGACACTGTGAGGGATAAAGTGGCCCATGCCGGGCCAGGCTTGGGCTCCCCTGATCACAGCCCCGCGAGCCAAACACTCCAAGTCCCCACTTTATAGAGAAGAACAAATGACATCAGAGAGGTTAGCCCACCTGCCGCTGCTCTTGGGGTGGAATGGAGGAACCAAGTGTCAGTCCCTCCAACTCCTCAGCGCAAGGTCACGTCACTGTCTGTGGTGGCCACTCCCTTCTCTCAGGCGCTGAGTGTGGCAGTGCCACTCTACCTGCACTGCCCTCCCCACCCCCAGCACTTCGAAGCAGGGGGCACATTTATCCCCTCATCACATGGAGCTCGGAGAGGCTAAGGGAACTGCCCAGTGTCACAGAGCAAATGACCAACAAGGCCAGGATTGGGCCAGTGAAGCTGGGAGGGGTCTTCTGTACTTGCCCTGAGCTGTGGGGCCATCCCTGCAGGCACGTGGCACTCAGGGAATGCTAGGCTGTGCTCTTGGTTTTCTGTTTGGCCCTCGGCCGTCTCTTCAGCACCTGGTGCAGTGCCCAGCCCATAGTAGGTGCTCACTGAATATTTGCTCGGTGAAGGAGTCATGAGAATTCAGTGAGCTCAGGTCTGGGGCTAAGCCTGTGGTCAGGGCCCAGGGAAGGTAGAGTGGGAACCACCAGGGCCCCTGGGCAGTGAGGAAGCATTGGGCTGTCAGTAGGGAGCGTGGAGGAGGGGAAAAGGGAGTTAGGGGACAGGGATGGTCTAATTTGGCTCCTAGAAGCTCACTGAATGATTAATTTCCCACCCACGTTCCTGTGATGTGTCTGCCAGAGGCTGCCCCCCCGCAGAGTCAAGACTCGTGGCCTCGCCTGCTTTCCTCCACCGCAGAAGGGGCTTCTCCAGCAGGGGAGGGGAAAGGAGAGGTGCCCTGGCTTCTGCCCCAGTTCTTCCCGCTGGGGTCTTAAGACAGGAAAAAGGGGCACTCTAAACACTTTATCCTCATCCTGGGCAGGATGGGGGTGTCAGAGACCACCCTGGAACACACTGCCCTAGACAGTAAGTGCAGTAAATAGGCTCTGTTCATGGGCGTTTACCACATGTAATCATCCCCACAACCCTTCTAAATAGGTACCGTTGTCCCGTGTTGCATGAGAGGAACCAGGGGTTCAGAGAGATGGAGGCATTTGCCCCAGGCCACACAGCAGGTTGGTTCTCGAGCTGGATTTGAACCCTGGGCTGTATGCCTCCAGAGTCTGTGATCTTAACCACATGCTAGCCTGAAGTGACCGCAGCGCTGGAGCAGTATTCCAGACGCCCCTGATTTGTGCCCCCCGGGTCTGCCCAGTGTTCACACAGAGCCTTGCACCCCCCTAGAGAAGCTTGACATGTGACTAAGTGAAGACCAAGACAGTCCACCCCTTCAGGGCCCATCGGGATATAGCCTGCCCACGATGAAGGACTCAGTAGTGGCTCTCAACCCCAACTGCACGTTCGACCCCCCAGGGGACTATTACAGCTCTCTACTGCCAGCTCCCCACCCCACCATATGCTGAGCTGTCCTGAGGGCAGAAGCCAGCCTGCTTTCGGCTCCCCGTCACGCATCAGCACTGGAAGCAGCCTCCTAGACACCAGTACACGTTTGTTGCCTGAAGCTGGTATTGCCATCCCATTTTACATATGGGGAAGCTGAGGCTCACCTGGGGTCACTCAGCAGGGGTGGTGGGCATCTCTGGGCCCTTTGTCTCTTTCCTTCCTCCCTCCCTCCTAGTGACCTCGTGGTCCCTTTCTGTGCCCCGTGAGCAGCAGGAACTTCCAGCCCGAGTGAACTTCTCAGCGGCCCCAGCCCCTGCGCCCGTGGTGCCCACCGCCCTACACTCCGAGATGGACGAGCTGGAGGGGCAGCTGCTGGCCAAGGTGCTGGCACTGGAGAAGGAGCGCGTGGCCCTCGGTCACAGCAGCCAGCAGCAGCGGCAGGAGGTGGCGAAGGAGCTGGACGCCCTACAGGACCGTGTAGCGGAACTGGAGCGCGGTGGGTCCTGAGCCCCACAGAGGGCGTGGCAGGCGAGGCCTTGGTCCTCAGATGGGTCCTCAGGGTGGCAGATTCACTCAGAAAGCATTTTCATGCTCTCCAGAGGCTAAAGCTAGATGGGATGGTGGGGAAGAGGCTGTGAAACACAAGGAAGAGAATAATTGGGAGAGGGCCTTATCATTATTGTTAGCAGGTAGCATTTTCTGGCGCTTATTGTATTCTGGGAGTGGGCTAAGTACTTGATACATCAGCTGGTTTAATCTTCACAGACCATACAGGGGTGGTAGTGTTATTATCCCCATTTCACAGCTGAGGAATATAAGGCTCAGAGAGGTCAAGTGACTTGCCCAAGGTCACACAGCCAGTAAGTAGCGGATCTAGACCTTAAACCAGGTCTGACTCCAAAGTCCATGCATTTAACCACCACCACAATAGCACCTTCAATGTCAGAATTTTGTCATTTTTTTAACACCTGGGCGGGGGGGTCAGAAAAACATGACATATTGGACAGTGTACAGGTGTGAGCATCAGGGGACCTGGCCCCTCATTCCATGGCTGTCACTGGCTTGCTCTGTCACCTTGGAAGCTCACCTCCTCTCCCCAGGCCTCATTTTCCTCATCTGAAAGATGCGGATTTAGGACTCATGAGCTCTCAGGGACCTTTCATCTTTTAAACTTCATGAGGAGCACCCAGGAGCACCCTTAAGGGGCTTATAGATGAGTTGGGGCTACCAGGGGACTAATAACCCTCATTCTGGAGTATGCCCTGCCCAACCCCCATCAGTGTCCACTGACCCCCACTGTGTCCACCTTGCTCACGCCCTCAGGGCCCTCAGCCTACGGTCCCCCGGGCGCCTTCAAGCTCAGCATCCCCATCCGCAACAACTACATGTACGCCCGCGTGCGGAAGGCGCTGCCCGAGCTCTACGCCTTCAGCGTCTGCATGTGGCTGCGGTCCAGGTCGGGCGGCACTGGCCAGGGCACCCCCTTCTCCTACTCGGTGCCTGGGCAGGCCAACGAGATTGTGCTGCTGGAGGCGGGCCATGACCCCATGGAGCTGCTGATCAATGACAAGGTGAGCGGGGCGGGGGGGGGGGCCTGGGGGGGGGGGGGGGGGGGGGGAGGGGGGGCCCCTTTAGGGGCCTGAGTGGTAGGGGGGGGCGGGGCAGTGGGGGCCCTTTCAGGAGCACCCGTACTGTGCTGGGCCCCAAACAGCTGGGCCCTTTCAGTTCTCCTGCTCAGCAGAACCAGCACACATGAAATGCCTGGTGTGTGCCAGGCTGGGTTTTGGGATTTCAAGACAAGCCAGGCCTGGGGCTGCGAAGAGGAACTCATGTCCAAGAGAGGCTGTCAGCGGTGGTGTGCCATTTACAGAGGAGCATGTGAGGCTCACAGAGATTCAGAGGCTTCCCCAGCGATGCGATGCGGCTATAGGAGCAGGGCTGTGAGTGTCCGCCCCCAGGGCCCTGCTCATTCTTCTGGACAAAGAGAGAAGCAAGTGATGTCCAAGGACCTCTCTGGGGAGGGAGGGAGGAAGGGCGGGAGGGAGTGCTAGTGGATTCCTCGCCCCCCTCCCCCCTGCAACCAGCCCCATGCGCCTCCCCTACGTGGTGAGTAGGATACTGCCGTGGTCAGGCTCTGGGCTGCATGCTGGATGTGAGGCCTAGTTCTGCCACTTACCCACTTCGTGACCTTAGACTAGTCACTTACCCTCTCCATGCCTCACTTTCCTCATCTGTAAAGCAAGAATAACACTACCTCACAGGGCTGTGGTGAGAAATAAATGGCTTAAATACATGTAAAGGGCTTTGAGCAGAGCCTAGCATTTAACAAACTTCGATAACTGTGCCCTGTGCTAGTAAATACTTTACCCGTATTATCACCCTTGACCCAACTGCACCAGGAGGTAGACACCCTATTATCCCCATTTTGCAGATGGAAAAGCTGAGGCTCAGTGAGGGCAAATAATGCACCCTGGCCACATAGCTGGTGAAAGGGTGATGATGTGAATTGGGGTCTTGGGCTCCAGAAACCACCTCTTAATCCCTCCACTGTTCTGCCCTTGGGTCACCCATCTGCCCCATGCCCAGGACTCCCACCCCCTCACCCCTCCCCCAGCCTGGCTTCAGGGCAGGACAAGGTAGGGGGACTAGGGGGAGTGATGTGGCAGGAGCATGGTGATCAAGGGGGAAGGAAGGGGAACATCTTATCACCCCATTCCCCCAAAATATCTTCCCCGGCTGCCACATTGCTTTGGGTCTTGCAGGCATGATGGTCTTTTGAGACTCCCTGAAAATGCAGGCAACATATATTGCACCCACTTGTGACCAGGCCACGGCCACAGAGAGCTGCTAGGAATGGCTGACACCCAGCGGAACCCTGCTTAGCAGGAGGTGCCTTTCATGGGTGTCCTGGAGGAGGCGGAGGGAGATGGGCCCAGGGGACAGTGAATTTCCCTTGTAGCCCAGTAGGTCCTAAGACCACCAGGGTAGCTGGATGACATCTAGATCCTGCCTCCTGGTTCCCTTCATACACCCCCTGGGTGCCATTTTTGCCTCTGCCCACGGTTAGCACTCAGTTCTAGTAAAAGGAATTCAGCACCCTGGACAGGGCCCAGTTCCCTGAATTTCTGGGGCCTTTTGAGCTCCAACCTCACAAGCTACTCACAGTACTCTTTTTTTTTTTTTTTTTTTTTTTTTTTTTTATTTCTGTTTTGCAGCATTTTTTCTGGGTTTTTGCGGTACGCGGGCCTCTCACTGCAGTGGCCTCTCCCGTTGCGGAGCACAGGCTCCGGACGCGCAGGCTCAGCGGCCATGGCTCACGGGCCCAGCCGCTCCGTGGCATGCGGGATCCTCCCGGACCGGGGCACGAACCCGCGTCCCCTGCATCGGCAGGCGGACTCCCAACCACTGCGCCACCAGGGAAGCCCCACAGTACTCATTTTATTCCAACCTCTAAGCCTTTGCCTCTGCTGTGGCCCCCGCCACTTGCTTTGCCTTGCAGCGGAGTTGCCAGAGTCCATTGTACTTCCAGATGTGTTTAGATTTCACATCTTCTGTTCCCACACCCCTCTCTCCCTCTGGGCCTTCACAGCCTCTGTACCTCCCAGATGGCCCCTATGTTACTCTGTCTTGTAATATTGTCCCTGAAGTCCTTCCCTCCTGTGCAGACTCAGCTTTTTTTATGACCAGGACCAAATCCATACCCCCAGTGTCCAGAACAAGGCCTGGCACCAAGTAGGCCTCAGAGAATGCTGCAATAAATTGTGATCTCAGAGAACTTGGGAGATGAAAGAGCCCTTTGGGAGCCCCAAATCCAGAGGCAGCAAGTACCTTTCATATCACAGGCCAACTCTAATCAATCATCAGTGGCTTCCGAGAGCACTGTGATGAGGAAGATTCCTAGGGTGAGTCTAGGCTCATGATAGATTAGCCATGTCTGCCTTGGGTAGAGGAGGAGGCAGAGGTGGCTGCATATTTGCTATCCTTTTCCCAAACCCCTAACTCTTTACGGATGAGGAGACTAAAGCCCAGAGAGGAAAGGGCAGCCTCCCCAGGGTCCCACAGGGGGTCGGTTGGCAGTGCCCGGCCTCTGAGTCTAAGGCTTGTTCTACCACTGCCAGTACTTCTTGAGCCCAGCTGTGTGCCAGGCACTGTGTGTGGTATTCGGGGGAAGGCACGCTTGTGAGATTCAGCTCCCACCCTGCATGACCTTGCAGGCCTGTTAGTGAATAAACCACCTAGAAACAACTGAAAACCAACGCTGAATAGTCCCTTGTGATCTGAGTGAAGCTGCCTGATAATATTGATATATTGTGGGGAAAGAGGAAAGAGTGGTCAGAAAGATACTGAGCTGGGAGGAAGGGGAGGGTCAAGCCTTGGGTCAGTCCCTGGAAGGAGGGACACGGGTCTCCCCATTCCCCATCCCACTGCTCCAGCCTTGGGCCTTGTGGCACCTCTGACCTGGGGCTGCGGGAACCTCTTTTCAGGTGGCCCAGCTGCCCCTGAGCCTGAAGGACAATGGCTGGCACCACATCTGCCTCTCCTGGACCACAAGGGACGGCCTGTGGTCTGCCTACCAGGATGGAGAGCTGCAGGGCTCCGGTGAGAACCTAGCCGCCTGGCACCCCATCAAGCCTCATGGGATCCTTATCCTGGGCCAAGAGCAGGTAAGGCTTAGGGTGGGATGCAGCTAGATATCCCACCCACTTAGGGCCCCTGAGGAGGAGGGGTAGGTGGAGGGTCCCTGAAAGCACAGCAGTGAGCTCTCAGTCTGGCCCAGCCATTCTGCAGATGGGCAGACTGAGTGAGACCCAGGGAGAGCAGAGACTCACCCAAGGGGCTAGAACCTTGGGGCGGGGCTAGAACCTGGAGGGGGTGGGACTTCAGCCGGGACAGGGGGTTGAGTCTCTGAGTGCCTGCCTGTCTCTCCTGCTCCCTCACTCCATGTCTTTCTTCTTTCTCTCTGCTCTTGTGGTCCAGGATACCCTAGGTGGCCGGTTTGATGCCACCCAGGCCTTCGTGGGTGACATTGCCCAGTTTAACCTCTGGGACCACACCCTGACACCCGCCCAGGTCCTGGGCATTGCCAACTGTACGGGGCCGCTGCTGGGCAACGTCATCCCCTGGGAAGACAAGCTGGTGGAGGCCTTTGGGGGTGCAACGAAGGCCGCCTTCGATGTCTGCAAGGGACGGGCCAAGGCATGAGGGGCCACCTCGTCCAGGGCCCCTCCCTTGCCTGCCAATTCGAGGGCCTTCCGGGGTGGGGTCACATTGCTTCCTCAGCCTACCCACATACTGGCCTCCTTTCTTGCCACACTCCTGGCCACGCCTCCCGTTTCCGCCGCCTCTACCCACACCTCCAGAACGCCCTGCCCTTGATGGCTTTCCCCTAATCCCACTCGGATGAGAGCAAGCAGCCCAAGTCCACAGGTCAAGCCTGGGGGGAGTCCAGGGCCTGGCAGTGGGTGCGTAGCAGTGCCCACGGCTCCTCCCCTCCACCGCTGCTGGCATTAGAGTGGAGCCGTCTCTCACCTCCCACTCCACCCTGTCGATCAACCACAACTGATTCCACTGATGTCACAGCTCCTCCCACGAGGTCGTGTATGGGGGACGGGCCCCCTGTCTCAGCGGCAGGGCTGGTTATCTGCCCTCCTGTGCCCCATGCAACAGGCCTGTCCCCTTCCTCTTCAGGGCCATAACAGGCTGGAGAGCTGTCCCCCAGCTGAGAGGGAATGACAGAACCATGGGCAACTCAGATTCAGCCCTCCTTTATCTTTCTACCAGCTGCCGGTCAAGGGCAGTGGGATCTTGATGGAGCCTCTCCCCGGACCCCACCCCCACCGGCACCCCTGTCCTCCTCCTCTTTCCTTGTTTCTTCGTGTGCAGTGGTTTGAATGTGGGTTCCATGCCTGGCCCAGCCCCACCTCAATTTCCAGGACACCCCCTTCCCCGCTGCAGCCTGGAGGGTTAGGGACCAAGACTCCAGGAGGCCGAAGGGCCTCAATTTCCAGGACACCCCCTTCCCAGCTGCAGCCTGGAGGGTTAGGGACCAAGACTCTGGGAGGCCAAAGGACCTCAATTTCCAGGACACCCCCTTCCCAGCTGCAGCTGTGCCCACTGGCATGGTCACCTCTCCCCTTCTGCAGCCAGGACAGGGCCTGGGCCACTTCAGCCTGGGCTGGAGACAGCATGGGGCAGAGGCACATGCCCCAGGGGACCCACAATACCTACCAGCTCTGCATGGCCCTGCAGCCTTTGGGGGATGAAAAGAAGGAGCCGAGAGGGTAGGGAGAAGCGTGGCATAGTGTGCAGAGCACTGGATAGGGAGGAGGAGCCCTTGGTTCCCGGTCAGCCCTCCTGCTGACCTGCTGTGTAGTCTTCTGTAAGTCCGTGCCCTCTCCGGGCTGACCTTCCTCATTTATGAACTGAGGCCCTTGCGTCTGTCATTTCTGAGAGCTCTCCAGATCAAAAGTGAGATGGTCTGTGATTTCAGGTGGATAGGGTGGGACAAGCCTGAGAACCTGCCTAAGGACTGAGGGGCACAGCAGGGGCAGGTCCTGGGACTGGGCAGCCGATGGGATCTGGCTAGGCTGGGTCAGGGTCAGAAGCTGGCTCCAAAGAGTCAGGGGCAAGGGCAAGGGTCAAAGCAGACCAACCTCATACACAGATTGTAAAGATCAGCTCTTCTGGATTCCCCCAGCCTGGCACCCTTGCCTATCTGAGTGTCTCAAAGGGCTGGTGGCTTCCTGGTTCCTACCCTTGAGTCCTCACCAGCTCCCCCAAGAGAGTAGGAGAATATCAGAGCTGAGAAAAGCCAACCAGTCTGACCTCTTGCTTGTACAGATGGAGAAGAGCTCAGAGAGGGCAAGTGACTTGCACAGGACCACACAGCACGATGGAGCACAGCCAGGACTAGAACCCAGTGCTCTTTCCCCCACACCCTATTTCCTGCCCATGAGAGTCTTTGAGTCCAGCCTATACCTGAGAGAATGGATATTTGAGAGGTCAGAATGCTTTCCAGCATGCCCACTGGCCCACCTTCCTTTATGAAACATACAAACATCTTGGCATTCCCACCCCCCACCCCCAGAAGGTGGGGGAGGAGAGGTGTGATCCCCGGGCACTCTGGCAGGAATGGAGACCTGAGAACACAGGTGTCCCTCCCCTTGCCAGTCACCTACCAGGTGTCTGGGCAGCTGTTGGCTACCTGAGTCAGATGGGCACTGGTGGCTTTTTGCCCCCCTTTTGGGTCCCTGTCTCCGCTCCCCACGTCCACTTAGCCTGAGACACTAGGCAAGAACTGCAGAATGTGGGTCCCAGGACCATGGAGGCTTTTCCAAAACTTGTCGCTTCCAGCCCCCAGATCCTCATTTCCATTTCAAGAGCACAGAAAGACCTTTCAGCCCCTCCAGCCCAACTCCACCTAGAAGGAGTGATGGTGCACTTCAGCCAGAACCTGCCGAGATCTGGGTTGTCCCGGTAACAGCCAATGACATCAGCCCCAGTGCGGGTCAAGCATCTCATAATGACATACGCTGTTGCTGGGGTGACGGCGGAATTCGGAACTTAGATTTCGGGGACACGGGGTTTTACTGGGTTTCTGTTATCGTTTTTAAGGGAACAGCTTTTGTGGAGGCCTTGGGGCAAAGAAAGGGTCTTGAGAAGGAGGTGAAAGAACTTGTTTGATCACTTGAGCCCACCCAGAGGCATCATCCCAAGTCCTTTATGCTTTCTCATGGTGATCATGAGACATCTGACCTGTGCTGAGTCACCCTGGTCATCCCTCCAGAGGGAACAGGAACAAACTGGAGGCACTTGTAGCCTCTGAGTCTGGGCCATCGGTGAGTGGCCTGGATCCCCGTTTCCATTCCAGAAAGATGAACGCCCCAAAGTCCCCACCCCTCCATCTACTATTCATCCTTCTTACCTTTGCCAAACGCCTGCTGTTTGGACTTCAGTTTTGACCTTCAGCTGCTCCCAGGCACAGCCTAAAAGACGGGGAAGAGAAATGGTGCTCAGTTGCATCCTCAAGCTACTCCTGGCTGAAAACGAGGCTGGAGCCATGTCTGATTTTTTTTAAGTGTCAGGTATCATGCTGAGCACCTCATGGGGATCAACTCATTTATTCTCACAACAGTTCTAAGCTAGGACTGTTCTTAGCCCCATTATACAAGTAGAGAAACTGGGACCCAGTGAGGTTAAGTAACCTGCCCTTGTCAATCAGCCAGCAAGTGACGGAGTCCAGAGTTCAAACCAAGGCAGGTGACATCCAGGACCCACCCCTCAGCCTGAGGGGACAGGCACTACCACTGTCTGTGCAGCGGGATTTGGTCATCCATTGCTCCTGACCCCATTCACCCCACCGAGAGGAACAGAGATGCAGGATGGGCTGACCCCAGGGCCGGGGTCCCCTTGGGTGAGGCCGTGGGAGGGTTCTCAGACCCTTCAGGGAACATGTCCCTGTGCGGGGTGCCCTTCTCTCACCAGCTGGAGTTTCCAGGAGAGCTGAAAGGGGAGAGGAAGATGGGCGTCTCCTGAGAATCCCAGGCTGAGAAGGGGAGAAAGCTGATATTTCTCAAACCCCTGCTTTGGGCCCAGCCCTGCACCAGGTGCTTCACAGCTCTTATCTGCCAGTTTTCCCACCTTGTGGCACATGGTGCCCCTAATCAACATCCCAAGGGGGCAGATCACCTTGCCACCATTGCGCGTGACCTAGGACCACAGATTTGGGCAGGAAGGGCTCCAAAGCCCTCGTTTTACGGATGAGGATGCCAGGGCCCAGGGAAGGTGAACAGCATTTGGGGGCACCCAGCCGGGACACTGGGAGGCCTGAACCCAGCTTTCTGACTCTGCATTCAGTGCTCTCTCCATGACGCAGTGGCCCCAGTCCCCATCCCCCGCCCCGAAATGGGTCCCTCCTTTTCTACATTTCCCAGCACCCTTGCTCTGAGCAAACTGGGGAAGGGACACCTCTCCCAGAGATGGACTCACTCTCTTCACCCTCTTTGTCGCAGCTGCCTGCCACTCTAAACCCCTCCTCCCAGCACCACCCCCGCCCCCGCTGGGTGGGGAAGGGGCTCACATGGGCCCAGGCTGAGCAGTGAGAGAGCATGTCGAGCTGTCTGACACTGTGAAATCAGTGCATCCTACTGGCGACCCGCCTCCCCGCTCCTTCTCCTGCCTGATTTTGTACATAAAGTGACATGAGATGCAACATGCGTGCGTGCGTGTGCGTGTGCGTGTGTGTATGATATGTCGAGATTTTGTTACTTTTTTGTTTCTGTAAATTTGAATGTTCAAAATAAACATGATGTTTACTCTGAGGCTCTTCTTGCAAGGGTGGGGCTACCCTGGGGGTGCCGGAAGGGAATGAAGTGGCTACTACTTGGGGTGGGGCAGTAGGCAAAGCCAGAACAGGTGCCACCTTGGTGCCCCAAAGCCTCACCCAAACCCACCTGTGCCCCCCAACCAGGCTCTGCCAGGTCCCAAGTGTAGACACACCACTTTTCCCAGGATTTATGCAGGAAGGATGTAAAGAACACAGGTCCCACATGGAAAGTGCCCTAGTTCTGATAACTGGGCTTTGGCCTCATTCCTAACACCTCATCCCCACCTCGTGCCCCAGTTATGGGAACCAGGTCCCTGACTTGTTCCCTGAGACCCAATCTGCCTGAGTTACTTGCCTGGACCCCAGAGTGTTGCCTCCCTTGGGGTCCTGGGGAGATGGGGTAGGGGAGAGGGAGGGCCCTGTTGTATTTCAACCCGTCCCCTCCCCACAGTCTACCTGGACTCCTCTGACTCGTGTGGCCTCTAGACTGACTCTCGGCCACAGGGTCTGCTACCCTCACGCACCCCTCCAGGCACCCACCCCATCCCTGAGAGGTCTTGATCCCCAGCCCTCCCTGTGCCCACCATCTTAGGGGCACAGCCTCCACCCTCCTGCTCCAGCAATATTGTCACTGCTCTTAGTTGGACCTTAGATGGTCCCTGTGAAATGCCAGGGGACCAGTCAGGGGTAACAGGGTGGGTCACACCAGCAGAACAGCTTTCTCAGCCTTTTCCAAAGTTTCCCAAACTTCCAACAAGAGAAATTCACCCCGTAAGGAGCAGGGGGTATAGCCGGAAGCAGCACTTCAAATAGGAAAACCATATTTCAAGTCTACCGAGTAATCTGTAAAACTCCTGTTCTTTCCACATTCTACTCC